AGGTGTGGCCTCATTGGAGGAGGTGTGGCCTCATTGGAGGAGGTGTGTCAATAGGAGTGGGCTTTAAGGTTTTAAAAGCTCAGCCACACCTAGTCTCACTCCGTGTCTCTGTGTGTGTTTCTCTCTGTCTCTCTGTCTCTGTCTCTCTCTCTCTCTCTCTGTTTCTCTCTCTCTCTCTCTCTCTCTCTCTCTCTCTCTCTCTCTCTCTCTCTTCCTCTTTCTGAGTTACTGTTTCTCTCTGTCTGTCTCAGTCTGTCTGTCTCTCTCTGGCCTGAGGATCAGGATGTAAGCTCTCAGCTGCTGCTCCAGCACCATGCCTGCCTGCCTGCTGCCTTGCTCACTGCCATGATGATCATGGACTAACCCTCTGAAACTATAAGCAAGCCCCCAGGCAAATGACTTCTTATATAAGTTGCTTTCATCATGGTGTCTCTTCACAGCAAGATGTAGCTGGCAAAGATTCTCTCCCATTCTGTAGCCCCTCTTCATTCGATGTCTAGTTTCCCTTGGTGTATAGAAGCTCCTAAAGTTGTCAATTACATGTGCTATTGGAATTGTTTTCCAGAAAGCTTTTACCTATATCTGTTTCTTGAAGTGGTACCCAGTTTTCTTCTAGGGGGTAAAGTATTTCAGATTTTACATTAATATCTTTGATCCATTTGGCATTGATTTTTGTGTAGGGTGAGAGAAATATGTTTAATTTTATCATGAATGTAGATATCTATTTTTCTTAATACCATTTTTTGAAGAGGCTTTTTTCCAATATATGTTTTTATATTTATCAAATATCAGGTAGTTATAGCTATGTAGATTTATTTTGGATCTTCTACTCTCTTTCACTGATCCTTATGTCTGTCTTGCTGCCATATGTCTGTTTTGTATTATGGCTGTGTAGTGTAATTTGAGGTCAGGTATTATAATATATTTGTCCAGAATTGTTCATTTGGCTTAGGATTGCTTTTACTATTCAGAGGATTTTGTGTGTGTGTGTGTGTGTGTGTGTGTGTGTGTGTGTATGTGTGTGTGTGTGTGTGTGTTTGTGTATGATCTCATATTAAGATTAGAATTGAGTTTTCTAGTTTTGCAAAGAGTTCCATTAGAGTTTTGATAGGGATTGCATTGAACTTGTAGATTGCTTTGGGTACTACAACTATTTCTGCAATATTAATTCTGGTAATCCATGCTCATGGACAGGATTTCTGTTTTCTATTTTCTTCAATTTCTTTCTTGAATGTCTTAAAGTTTTCATTGTAGTATCAAGATCTTTCACTTCATCAGTATAGTTTTTGCTTCTAGATATTTTAAAAAACTATTATGAAGGTGGGCTTTTTCCCTTTACTTCTTCCTTGGATAGTTTGTTATCAATATATAAGAAATCTACCATTTTCATCAGTGCTGATTTTCTAACCTGCTACTCCTCTGAAAGTGTCAGATGTGATGGTTTTCTTGACAAATCCACAAGGCTCCTTCTCATTCCTCGGTCATTTCACTTCTTCCTTTCTGACCCATGTGTCTTATTTCTCTCTTGACCTAAGTTAAGACATTGGGCAGCACACTGAGTAAGGGTAGAGAAATTGGTCACTTCTGTCTCATACCATGATTTGGAGGAAATGTTTTAAGTTTTTCCTCATTCAGTCTATCACTTACAGGCTTGCCATATAGAACAGTTATTATATTTATAGCCCCTCTAGTCTTAGTTTTTTCATCACTTTTTATCATGAAGGTGTATTGAACTTTGTCAAATGCATTTTCTCTATCTACTGAGATGACCATGTTATTTACATCTTTAATATTATTTATTGTATGTTGTATATTGCATTTATTGGTTTATATATGTCAAGCCTCTAAAATGAAGCCATCTTGATTGATGTGCAAGCTACTACATTCTTGCATTAGGTTTGTCAGAATATTGAGAAGTTTTGCATCCATGTTCATCAAGAAAGATGGTCTACTCTTTTCTTTCTTTGCTGTACCCTCATGTGGTTTTGTTACTAGGGTAAGACTTGCATTGGGGAAGAGTTCAGCAATGTTCTTTCCCTTTTTATTTTGTGGAAGAGTTTGAAGAATATTGGATTTAGGTCTTCCTTAAAAGTTGGGTAGAATTTGGCCATGAGTCCATCCATGGGCTTTTCTTTGTAGGATACTTTTGATTACTACTTCAATTTTCATTGTTATGTATTTAATTTGTCTAGATCTTCTTGACGTAATTGTTGGTATATTACACATGTTTAGGAATTTGGATTAAGTTATTTTAAAGGTTTGTTTGTTTGCTTGTTTGTTTGTTTCTGTTGTGTGTGTATGTGTTGTGTGACACTACTCTGGGGAGGTGTGAACAAAAGTCTACTCACCTCAGATAAGGAAACAACAGACCAAAAGTAAGGGTATCACTGAAGTCCAGCTTGGTGGACCAGTTAACATTACTTGGGTTAATTACAGGAAAGCTCACCCCAGTATGGGGGACCTGGAAACCTGAAGCTCATTGCACAACTTGCAGGCATCTCAGCAAGTTGGAGAACATTTCTTTCAAGTATCTTAGGTGTTCTGAGCCTCTTCGAAGCAGAATGGCTGATATAAGTGTGTCTCTTATCAGCCTTACTGCTTATATGGACTTGAGGATGGGGGGGGCGTATCTAGTGTATCTAGTCAGTTTCAGGGATTTCCTGAAGCCTTTGAGTTGTTTACTTTTTGAGTTTAAAGAACTTCTCTGCAGGATGGAACATTTCACATCCATCTAAAACATCCTGTGTCTTAAGGAACTCATATCCATGGTAGAAAACTTTACGTGTGTGTGTGTGTGTGTGTGTGTGTGTGTGTGTGTGTGTGTGGTGTGCACATGCCTGTAGGTACCTTCAGAGGCAAGAAGAGGATGTTGGATCTCCTGGAATTGGAGTTCACTGGAGTTACAGTCACTTGTGGACCACCTAGTGTGGGTAATAAAAACTGAACTCTGGTCCTCTGCAAGAGCAGCAAGTAGTCTTAACCTTTATGCCTTCTCTCTACCCCAGCATTAAAATCATTTTTAATAAGAGGAAAGAAGAGTACCTAAATTACATCAGGCCACACTCTGCTTGGTGTGGCTCAGATTGCTCTAGGAGCAGTAGAGGAGAAGATAACAGTAGAATCTAGTTTAGACATGGAGGATCCAAAGTTTGCTTGAGACTTGTAATTAGTATATCACTGTCAGGATTCAAATTTCAGTGTAACTAATTCCATATGCTGGGTGATTTCTCCTGTAATATGCCGTCTCCCATGAAGTATCTGAAATCTCAAATGTATGCTTACTTAGAGTCTGTTGTGCTATAAGGAGAACATGACAATATAAACTCAATACAGATTTGCTTTAGACTGAGGTCAGTTTTAAATCTATTTGAAACTAGAGCATAAACTTATGAAAATTGCAATCCTCCATTAAAATATTCAGAAATGGTAGATATCTTTTTTTTGAGACTTATCTCCTCTGTAATATTTTAATGAAAAACAGACTTCCCCAAGGCACGTGAGAATTTCACTAAAAACATAGCAAGGCTTGTGTAGTACACTGGATTAGACGTCCCTGTTGGTGAAGTTATTATATTTGCACTGGGCAACTGCTAAGGGCATCCTGAAAGCTATGTTCTAATACAGCCAGAAATGGTAAGAATGCCGTTTGAATTGATGGTTTGCATATTTTAAAGACACCACCTGTATGAAACAAACAATATCAATGTAAGTCTCTCTCTCTCTTAAGGCTACTCGGCATGCTGAAATGGTGGCCATTGATCAGGTCCTAGATTGGTGTCATCGACATGGACAGAGCCCTTCCATGGTATTCGAACACACGGTGTTGTACGTCACTGTGGAGCCGTGTATCATGTGTGCTGCTGCCCTGCGCCTTATGAGTATCCTTTGGCTTCTTGGCTTCCTGCCTTTACCTTGCCTGTGAGCAAAAATGGCCAGATACACCTCTCATTGTTCTCTCTTTCTTCCGTGGGATCCTGGGACTAAATTACGTATTTTAAAAGGTAAAATTCCTGCATTAAATTTCTAATTCTGCAATGATTCTGAAAATATAGTTGAGAAAAGAGCAGAGAATTGTTTTGTGTATTAAGCAAAATCACACAGTCTCTGCTGTTTACAGTTGCCAGGGTTTGTTTGTTTGTTTACTGTTGTTATAATGGCAAGCACCTGCCATGGCACACATGCAGTACTCAGAGGACGAACCTGGGGAGTTGGTTTTCCCCCTCCACCATTAAGTATGTCCCAGGGATCAAGCTCAGGTTGTCCTGTTTGTATGGCAAGTCCTTGTATCAGCTGAGCCATCTTGTCAACTCATGATTGCTAGATTTTTAATTTCTACACACCTAGAGTCTCTTCCTCTTTTTTTTATAACTGGATTTTATTAGTTTAAAGGCAAACTGTAAACTTTTAATTGTTTTGAAGTCTGGATTGAGCTTTCTAAGGTAGTTAGTAGCAGCCTGCTCTTGCCGTGGTTCTTCACATCCCATGCAGGACCTTAATTCTGTGCTATAAATCCCGCTGGTCGTCTATGGCTGTCAAAATGAACGGTTTGGTGGTTGTGGTTCCATCCTAAACATTGCCTCTGCTGACCTACCCAATACTGGGAGACCGTTTCAGGTAATATAATCTACTTGTGCCCTCCTTCCCTCCCTCTTCCCCTCCCTCCTTCCCTCTTTCTCTCTCTGTTCTTTCTTCCTTTTCTCCCTTTCTCCACGCCCCTTTTCTTCTGTTTATCTCTCTCTTGATGGACTTACCAATTGTATGTGGTCAGTATTCCAAAAACCCATGACAGAATCAGACTGTATCGTGGGGCCCTGGATTGAGTTCTTTACATCTCACTGGAAAAAAATCTGTGTCCCTTCCCTGAACAGAGTTCACCAGCACCTTGTATAGGCTTAGAGACTCTCTCTCTCTGTTGGGACAAGTGGTGCCCGGTCTGTGGTGTGATGATGGAACTTGGCCTGCATTGTTAACTGGGATACTAGTCACAGCCAACAGTATTTAGGCACCAGTTCCACCACCACCATTACTACTATCTACCTGGCATTGCAGTTTCATTATTTGTTGATCCCTTTTAATGGTGAGACTTCCCCTGAGACCAGAGAACTTACATGTCTTTTGTCTGTTAGAAAATCTGCTTCCTTGCCACACTGGTGAAGGTTTTATTGTTGAAAGTGTAAGCATTAGGAATCTGTCTGACAGAATCCATACACTACCCGTTCATTCTCCAAGATGGAAGATTAATCCCAAAGGATTATACTCAAAAAACAGTAAGATTCAATAAATTCTGGAGTTCCTCTTGAAGGCCTCGAGTGTTCATAGGCTGTGCCGAGGACTAATCCTGTGCAGCGCGAGTTTTGTAAGAGTCTTTGCCTTGAATTCTTCCAGCTGAACATAAGCTTTCCTAGCCACTGCTGTATTTAAGAATAGATGCCTTTAACATCACATCAGAAAGAAGCTGCAACAGAGTGAGTGGGAATGAGTGAGGCTGATTATTAAAGACGTCTCGTAAAGTGACTTCATTTTTCCATTCATTTCTAAGAGCCACCCAGACATTGCTTGTATAGCACAAATTGCTGGCTCCATACACATGGCGCTTCCTCTATGAGAAAAACCTAAGTAATTTCTCAGAGTTTCTGAACAGAGCTAAGACACATCGCTGGGTATCAGACTGTCTAAGACGTAGATGAGGAGCAGAGGAGACAGCTCAGTGGGCAACGTGTCGGCCAGGCAGCATGAGGACCTGAATTTGGATCCCCAGATCCCACTGAAGGCCAGATGCAGTTGAGGGTCCTGTGGTGAGACGGGAAGCAGGGACAAGAAAAGTTCTGGCCTGCTAGCCCGATAGATGTCGTGTCAAACAACAAGAGAGCCTGTCTCAGTAAGGCTCAAGGGGAGAACAGGCGCTTGAACTTGTGCTCAGGGTGCACTTGCTTGCTGGCTTGTACATATACATGTGCACATGACAGACACACATACACACATGCACATAGGCACGTTGGTGACATGAAAGCACAAACAGTTCTGTCAGGTTTCTCAGTGTAGTCAGTCTTTCTCAGCCAGAGAAGTTCGTTTATAGTTCATCTATCTACATGGCCATGTTGAGTCAGTGGAAAGTGAATGCCATGGTTTAATGCCAAAGTATGTTCTAAGGTCTTGTTAGCTTTTAAAGCCTTAGTATGCTCGTCTTCTGGATGCTGTGTTTTCTTCCTTTTCTTTCGTTCGGCTCATGGGACAGAGGGCAAAAAGGGAGGTAGGATCTCACATCAGAATTGTAGATTCCTTTAATACTGCATGCAATAATATACTATAATATTATATAGTATAAAGTTCACAGGGATATCTGTGGATCTATTGTTTTTAAAAATATGGTCATTCATTTTTTTAGTATTTCTTTTTTTTCTGGTTAAAACATTTGCTTTGTTTGTTTTGTTTTTGTTTTTGTTTTGACACAGTTTCTCTGTGTATCCCTGGCTGTCCTGGAATTTACTCTGGAAACTAGGCTGGTCTCAAACTCATAGAGGCCTGCCTCTGCCTCCCAAGTGCTGGGTTTAAAGATGTGTACCGTCACTATCTGGTGAATATACTTTCTGCTAAAACCTACATACATATAGCTCTAGTTGATACTTTAGAATCTCATCTTGATACCTAGACCCATGGGTTATTATTATTATTATTATTATTATTATTATTATTTCCCAACTGTAACTGTGTTTCTCCTTGGACCACACATTAGAATCTCTTGGAGGGCTTTTGCATTTCTCTGTGCATAGGTGAATAAAAAGGCAGGGACGAGCATCTGTGCTTGAAGAGGTTGCGGTGTGATTCTGCTGAACAATGATGGAGAAGCACTGCTTTACCAACCCCTGGGGAAAGGGCCTGGTGTTCAGTTGGACATTGGAGAGTAAAGGTGGACGAGCTGGAAGGCACCAGGCCCGGCACACACTGACCAACAGTAGTTAGGGTGGTAGCATCCTAGAACCCAAGGGACGAGAGGACTCTAAGTCACGCTTGTGTGTCGGGTCATCTTGTGACTACAGAGCTGTGTTAGGAAGAAGATCATGTTTCCATCAGTGAGTGCCTGGCGATGTTTGCTGGAGAGACAGCCTCAGTGGGGCCTTGAGATCATTAAGACCCTAAGGAAGAGATTGAGGAGGAAATAGGACTGAGAGGGAATTCTGGTATGTTCTGAGGCAAGGGCAGGGCAGTACTTTTTAAGGAAAGATTACTGTTACCATGGGGGAAGATCCTAGGCTGGAGCCAACTGAGGCCTCAAGAAGGGAGTTTCATTCGCACAATGCCCCTGTGAGGCTGGCCTCCCGTCTGCAGGTGCTTGGCTCGGCTCCACTTTGAGGGATGGCTGTATTGTTTCACAAACTTGAGCAGGATGAGTTAGATCCTTTCCAGGCCCTCCAGACGAGTGCTAAAATCCCCGAGCATTTGGCCCCATCTCATATGTCTTTAATTTCTTTCCCCTACGCTCCCAAGCTCTTCAGCTTCCACACACATGCACACACACAGCCTTCTTCCCACTCTCCCGGAAGTGTGCTTCCTCGCCTCTGTACGTGTTCAGCGTTCGTCTTTACTCCATGTTTCATTCGTTGTTCCTTACAGCTCTCTTTGTATTTCTTTTTTCACATATTTTAATCTCTTCTGGTCAGTTATCAGAGCAAAGCCAAGCTCAACAGCTTCCTTAAATCTTGCATAGCAAAACTCCCCTCCGCCCCCTGTAAAGGACCAGGTACTAAATATTTCTGCCTCTTGTGAGAGAAATGTGTTTGTCACATAGTGTTTTATACTCTTAAAAGTATAAAAACCATTGCTTTGCTAGCTAAGTATTATAGCTCTCGGGGAAAGGCTTCCCCTGCAAGTTCTGCTCCTGCCAGCTAGGGTGGGGTTGAGGGTAGGGATAGGAGTGGAGGAGGGGTGTTTCCCTAGTGCTAGTGTGTAGTAGGATATTTTCCTGCTACATCGTATTTGCAGTGGAGCTCAGTTATTGGGCAATAGAAGAGGTAGGCAGAGTGAGGAGTTGGGGCGGGGAGGAAAAAAGAGGAGGGGAGAGAGAAAGGAACATGGAGGAAGAAGTGTGGATCTCTAGCAGTCCCAGGTAGCAATTTCTATCAAAATGTTAGGTATTGGGTAACAATTCTAATTGGTTGGGCATCTTGTGTATTGAGCACTTCCAAATATATAAATCCATTGGATAATCTTTAAGTATTAAGAGTCTTCTTTCTACCTGTACTGAGAGCATGGCGGGTATTGTCTGAGGCTTAGCAGAGAATCATAAGGGTGACAGGGTTGGCCCAGAATCTATGCTTTGGGGCGTGGTCTCTGTGGAGAGGAACCAGCCGCCACAGTAATGTCTCAGGGGTGCTCTAGGCCTTTGGCCTATTCTAGCTCTCCACGGTTGGCCTCTGGCCGCTTCTAGTGCGGGAACATGGCGGGCCTTCCAGATAACTAGCAGAGGTGGACCACGCAGTGGCTTTTTTTCTAAATTCTCCCATTTCACTAGTGTAACAGTTCTGCTCTACCAAGGGATAATTTACCCAGCGAATGTGTTACAGCTCTGCTCTGCCAATGAGGAGCCAAGGAATACTACAAAATCACACCATACAACAAACCTCACACAAGAATCCCCCCACCCCCAGGCGGGTGGCCGCCTAAGCAGAAGGCAGGGTTTAAGGGTTTCTTGGGGGGTGGGGCAGGGTTTTCTAAGGTGGAGATTTTCAGGGTGAGGATTCCTGGGATTTCAAGCTTAGGTTGAGCTCAGTGATTGGTAGGTTTGTGTGGCAAGCCCAGGGATTGGTGGGTTTACCTGTTCACGGTTTTCATGCTCAATGATTGGTGGTTTTCTGTGGCAAGCTCAGGGATTGGTGGAATTCTGTTTCTTGTTCCTGGGCTTGGGGTCAAGTCAGGGTCAGGATGTTTTAGCTTTGGCCCCTTTACCCTACGCTAGCTTGTCATTCTTAACTGCGGACGGGATTTGTTCCACTAGGAATAGTTTACCACCCCAAGGTGTATAGCATCCCATGCTTGGAGAAATATGGCCGGTAAAAATATGAGCACCTGTTCCGCATCTCGTTTAATCACTATATCATCCCTCTAAGGTCTAGTTACATACCACAGAGGGTCTAAGTACTGGCCTCTAGTGTAGTACTTAAACTACAGTTTAGGTGGTTAGTATTAGTGATTAATTGAGATGTTAGGTTAAGGCTGGATGCCCATTCTTTTGGAAATGTATGTCTTTATGCTTTTATTTGTCCCAAGTAATGAACATTGTGAGGAGTCCATTAATGTAGTCATGACTGTGTATACACCACCGTGGGGACATTTAGCCCACATCCAGTCATGGCCAATGCTCACCTCATGTTCCTCCCTTCATCAGTGCATCCCTGGGTACCGTGCTGAGGAGGCTGTGGAGCTCCTAAAGACCTTCTACAAACAGGAAAACCCAAATGGTGAGTTTTCCCGTGGTGCAGTGCCCCACCTAAGAACTCAGTATGAAGGACGTTTGGTGGCCCTTGTTTTTTAACTTATCTGACTTTTTTTTTTCTTTCAGCGCCAAAATCAAAAGTTCGGAAAAAGGATTGTCAGAAATCCTGATGTTGTAATGATCAAAGACTAGTACCTTTTGGAGATCTGGACAGAGTTCCTGACTGAGAGCCACTGGCATCGCTGGTCACGTTTATGTTATTACTGTGTGTGAAAACGGTGTCTCTCCTCATTTGCTCTGTTAAGGAAACAAATTAGCTTTTTAAAAACAGTCTGACCATGTAAACAGCTATTAGCTCTTCCACCAAGCTGAAAGAATATTTCCAGGAAGGGGAAGGATTAAGGTTTGTGGTCCCAGAGATGTGCAAGCAGGGCCTGCCCTTCATGAAGCTCTTTGTGGCTGTGGAGGTGGCCAAGTGGTAAAATGCTTGCCATGCAACCATGAGGATTGGGTCCCCATCAGTGCTAGGTGGGCTTAGTGGCCTGCCTGTAATTCCAGTGCATGGAAAACAGATGGGCTTCCAAGATCCCAAAGCAAGCTGACTAGATAGGTTAGCCCTTACCTCGGTGTCAACCTTAGGCGTCACATGTCCACACGCACCCCCCCACACACAACCCAAATGCAAGCGTTGACACACATGACACCATATATGTACACATGCCAAAAAAAAAAAAGACAAATCTTTGGAAGATTGATCAAGATCAAAACAGGAAGTAGAAGGAAGAAAGAAAGCTTTGACATTGAGTGCATTCAGACCAGGTCCTGCACCAGACTCCACCAGGGCACAACATGTACCTGGGCTTATTCTAATTTGTATTGACTTTATATATATGACCATGCGTGTCGGGAGTTCATGTGTGTGGGTGTGGAGGCAGAGGAGACTCTGCTGTTCCTTAGATTCAGTGCCAATCCTCCTTCCTGATTTTTTTTTTAAGAGAAGATTTACTGAAATGTACCATTTGGCTAGGTAGGCTGGCCAGGAATGCCCAGGCTTCTGCCTGTGGCCTCTAGTGCAGGAATTACAGGCATGCACCACCATGCTCACCCTCCTCCCCTCCCTCCCTTCCTTTTCTCTTTTAAATGTGAATTTTGGAAATTGAACCAGAGTCCTCCTGCCACTTGATCGACCTAGATAGCTCCCCAACCTTAGAACATTTTTAAAAGTATTTACATTAAACAGACGCTTTTAAAGCAAGTGTTTGAGTCATTTTTTAAAGAAAAAAATAGCATATCGCTACAATAAAGTTTTATTCATACCTTCTTTAAAGAGGAATAGTCTTTAAATAGTTGGTGCTGGACAGATGGCTCAGGGGTTAAAAATATATCTGCTTTTCCAAAAAGATACAAGTTTGGTTCCCAGCACCATCACTGGACAATTCGCAACCTGTAATTACAATTCCAGGGAAGTGGATACCCTCTTCTGGATTCTATGGGTACCTACACTTACATGTGCACACAGTTCACACACACACACACACACACACTCTTTAGATTTCTAAAGGAGAAAATTAAAAGTAGAGTCGTTCCTTATAATGGAGCTACTTATTCCTTTAACGTCCGTTTCTTCCCTGGAACAAAACGAAGACCTTATACTCTCAAAACAAAGACCTTATATTTTCCAGTGAGAGAAATGAAAATGGTCCATTATATAAGTTTCTGGAAGATAACAGTTGCTGCTGGGCATAAGGTCCACACTATAGCCCCACTGCTGGAGAGATCGAAGCAAAAGAATCATGAATTCAAGGTTTGGGCTATATAGGGAGCCCCTCCCCCCGCCCCCTATCGCCCCAATTAGAACCAGTTGCTATTAGGAATAAGAATGCAATGATGGTTACAAGATTGAATAAAATGATCCGTTGAATTCGAAATACCAAAGCTGTTACTCTTTCAAATGCGGATGATAAAGCTTAAACTGAGTATCTAAAAATGTGACCTCACAACAAAATCTCTGATAAGGGTCACTAGAGCAAGATGCGGCTTTTCCGCGTCGCCCTGGGCGCAGTGTGCGTCTCTGACCAGAAGGGGGCCTCCCTGTTCCACCGCCTGGGCAGCCTCAGTTTCTTCAGCGTATTCAAGTCCTTGATGCAGAGCGGCTGTGTTTGTTGACTCTGCCATTTGAGCACTGTCTCCGACTTGTTTGTTTTGAATTACATTACCGGCTGGAATGTGATTGTGGCGGTAGTATTTTTATATTGCCTGGGGGAACAGCTAATCACAGTTACATGCTTCAGAGGATTTATAATTGCGTGGTTTTGTGCGTGTGTTTTTTTTTTTAACAGCATTTCAGAAGTTTTATGAGCGAAGAGTACGCAGGATTTTAAATTTACAATAATGGTCTGTGCACCTTCTCTTCGGTTTTATCTACTTTAAAGACTGTCTTCTCATTAAGTTTTAGTGCCTTGCCTAGTGTGTTCCTTTTTGCAGTTGGTCATAACTCACTCCTGGCTCCCGTGCTCTCCTGTAAACAGACATCGTTATATTTATTGACTTCTTATCATTTTGGGGGAATTATTTGTCCTTGGAACAACCTGGGATCTTATCCTTGTAGAGTACCACCAGATTATTCTGGCTATCTTATGACCAGTGGGCTCATGATAAACCTTTGAAAGTAAATTTAGTTTGAATTTAGGGAAAAAAATAATAATAAAGGTAAGAGCATAGAGCCATAAATAATATGTGGCCATTTTATCTGAGAGACAAGAACAGCTTAGGAAGCAGAGAGAAAAAAACAGAAAATAAGGCAGTAGCATGTTTTCCCTTTTGGTTTTAGAGATGGCTAAGTGGCATTTCCTGGTTCCTAAGCAGGGCTGAATGGTTTAATTTCCATTTACCACCTTTAAAATTCTCTTTCCAGTCACTGACAGAGCTTTTGCACACAGGTTTTCCTGTGGAAAAATCTCTCTGGATCAGTTGTTGTAGATTAGGGATCAGCACTGCCACCGCAGGATCACTGTGAATATCATAGACACCAAGTGTGCAGAATTCAAACGACATGTCCACATGACAGTGAGGCGCTATAGATATGTATACACAAAACTGTCTGCGTGCAGCGCCCTCCAGCAGGCTCTGCCACACCTCAAAAACTTATGCCCAACAGAACCATAATGGTTGTACCTTTCTTTGGAAGAGACCAAAAAAGAGTGGTACTTTGTGCATGAGATAGTTAGGAAGATGAAGGACGTAGACAGGCTGTAGACACTTGCCCTGGTAAGAGAAACTGGGGAGAAATGATCAGATCTAAGCTGCTGGAGTATCCAGTGTTTGCTGGGTCCAATCAGCGATGAAAAGTCATGTTGTGATATCTTTGCATTTCCTGTCTTAGACACTTGAAATATGGAGAAAACAGCCAGCGACCCAAATGTTGGCAAGATGGTTCATTTTTCTAAGGACCCTCCCTTCCCTTTTGTAACCCAGGCTGGCTTCAGACTCGCTGTACAGCTGAGAATGACCTTGAGTTTCTGATCCTCCTGCCTTTCTAGGGTGCAGGGATTACAGGTGATGGCTACTTATGCCGGGTTTTGCCAGTGCTGGGGAGTCCGTCTCAGGACTTCATAAGCGCTAGGCAAGCCCCCAGACAATCATGGCTACCAGGCAACACAGGGCTACATCATAGCCCCTTCTTCAGGTTTTTTTTTTTTTTCCTTTTTAAGTTACATCATATGTTCTCCTGGTCCTTTACCGGGAAGCACTTCAGTTTTTATGCATAGAGTGCTATCCTGTACCGTTGCCACTCTGATCTAGCCAGTTTAATGCTCATTCACTTTAAAGGAGCACTGGTGTACCAGTTCAGCCAGTTGGCTCAACTAAGCCCTGGGGAGAATTCCCTCCAGCCCCGTGAAGCCAACTGCACCCTAGGGCTAAGTTACAGCACGTTCCAACCTAGAACATTTCGGTTGCCTTTCATATTGCTGACATTGGACTCTCAGGCCCTGTGTGAGCTCTCCCACTGAACCACTTCTCCCTCCACAGACAGTTTTCCTACCTGTCCTGCCCCTGTCACTGCTGCTGCTTTCCAGTTAGTGAGCTCTTCTTTGGGATAAGAGTGGTCTTTTTATTTCGTACTGACTCATCTGGAGGCACACAAAGGCCAGCAAACTCTACAGGTGACGTTAATTTTGTGCACTTGGTTAAGATGTCTGATTTAGTCACTGTGGACTTGGTTCTCTCTCTCTCTGTGCCAGTGAGTGATCAGTCTGTGGGGGAAGAAATAGTGACTTTTTTTTTTAAATAGAAAGTGCGTTAGACACTGATGGAAGGGAGGGAAGATTCATTATATAAATTCAGAGCAGCTGTTAAATTATTTGATTTCATTTTTTCTCTGTATTGTGTGTTCCAAAATTCAAAACGTTTGGTAAGAGTATTTTAAACAGCACAGTCAATGAAAAGATCTAAAACTAAGTACTTTCATTCTTGATATCCTTCTCAGCAAAGAAATAATCATGTAAATTTCATTATAACTAATAGTGTTGTGGAAAAATGGTCCAAGATATTTCTCATATCACAGATGCCCTGTGGTAATATAATAGGTCATTGATTACTAGCCCATAAAATCAAGGCATTGGGGGGTGAGTGGGGGACACACTCGTTTCCCTAGAGACATCTTGACTTAAAATGTTTTAGGTACCACCATTTGAGTGCAGGTAAAAACAAAAGCTAAGACTATTTTTTTTCTTTCATTTATTTTAAAAGAAGTCCAGCTTCTCTGTTTTGAAATCTTGGGTGAAGCCAGAGCTGGTGTTGCCTCGCTGTTCCACATCAGCTGACCTAGAGTAGGCTTGAGGAGAGGAGACATGAGCAATTGATTTCCCTGCCTTTTGGCAAAGGAACGAGACTGCATTGACTTCAGCCATGCAGTCAACTGCCAGCTCGTTCGTTCCTTCACAGGGCGCTGCTTGTGTGTAGTGAGGAAAGGCCTGATGGCTGATGTTATTTTTATGGGTCAGGCGGGCATGGCTTGTGGTGAAAGCTTGACATCTTTAGGATCCTACATGTTTGTTCGATGAGCTAATAAAAGCAGGCTTATGTGATTGTTTCGAACCTGATTTTCAAGTGGACTCTTATATGCTGGACACTTTTACACGCTGGACACCACATATCAAAGACAGCAAGTAAGCAAACTTTGTGATGAGATTCGACAAAGAGTGTCATTAGCCAGGCTTTGGTCAAGTTCCAAACTCTCTTAAACAGGCCACAGCATTGGCCCTGTGGCCTGCTGGGTCTGCATAGCCTTTTGCAAGTGTCCTACTGACTCTCTTTAGAGCCCCGCCCCCATCCCATAAATGTTTCATCCGCAGAACTGATGTAAAATGGCCTTGCCTTCCCTTCAGCAGGACTCACAGGTTAACGGTGACACCTTATATTCTGTCTCTTCATTCTACCTCCACCCCCACCACTTCCATCCTGCTAGCTATTTAGAAAGCCCTGATTGGTTTTATGTCTGGGCTTGTACATAACCTCACACCACAAACACATAGTGGTGATACCTCTCTAATCCTGAATGAGGTTATCATTCCCATTTTCACAAGTGTCAGGATAATCTTTGACAAGTCAAGAGTATAAACTGAAATCCAGAGAAGGGTCTCACAAAGTATGGCCTGTGGACCAATATCCACCCTAGTGCCTACTTTCATATAGTCTACATTTGATAAGATTTTTCACTTCTAAAGGGTTGAACAATCAATTAAATAATAT